TGACTCTTGATTTCCGCTCAGGTCACAACCCCAATGTCCTGGGATACAGCCCTCTGTTGGTCTCCATGCTGAGCCTGGAGCCTGCAGCCTGCTTGAGATTCTCCTCTCTCTCTCTCTCTCTCTCTCCCTCCCTCCCTCCCTCTGTACCTTTCCCCCACTTGTGCTTCTCTCTTTAAAAAAAAAAAAAAAAGATGGGGCGCCTGGGTGGCTCAGTCCATTAAGCATCCGACTTCAGCTCAGGTCATGATCTCACAGTCCGTGAGTTCGAGCCCCGCATCAGGCTCTGTGCTGACAGCTCGGAGCCTGAAGCCTGCTTGGGATTCTGTGTCTCCCTCTCTCTCTGCCCCTCCCCTGCTCATGTTCTCTCTCTGTCTCAAAACTAAATAAAAACATTAAAAAAAGAAAAAGGAAAAAAAAGAATCAAGAAAAAGAATTCTTAGAAAAGTGAAATTAGTTACAGCAAAAGCAGAAAAATCTAAGACCTTAAAAATAAAAGATACTTTTAATGACTAATAACATCTTAAGGACTTGTCACTATTTCGTAGTAACACACCTGAAGGAAAACAGTAATTCAGAACTTTGCTTCTTCACCAGAGAGAAGATGTTGGTCCCAAACTTCTCCAGCTGTGCCTGGTGTCCAGGTGAAGTGTGAGAGTGCCAGAGGCTCCCTGGGAAATGTCTGCCTCCCTTTCAACATTTTCCACCCCAGTCGGATCAAGATCAGGTTGATCAAGATCACCAGACCCTTGTTTACAGCCAATGGCCATGGTTAGAAATAATCTTTGATTTTTTATTTTTTTTAATGTTTTATTTAGCTTTGAGAGGGAGAGAGAGAAGGAGAGGGAACGGGGGAGGGGCAGAGAGAGAGGGAGACACAGAATCCAAAGCAGGCTCCAGGCTCCGAGCTGTCAGCACAGAGCCTGACGCTGGGCTTGAACTTACGAACGGTGAAATCATGACCTGAGCCAAAGTCAGATACTTCACCAACTGAGCCCCCCAGGTGCCCCTAGAAATAATCTTAAAATAATAGCCCCTAATACAATGTTACCAAATGGGAGCAGCTGTGTGGCACCTACTTGGGACCATGAAACCCTACTGGAAAAATATTTTCCAGTAAAAGCAGTCCTTATCCCTACCATTTCTCAAGATCCCCACGGGAAACGTAAATGTTGATGATTCCTAACCTTCATTTATTTCATGAAATCAGCAAATATTAATTGAATGCCTGTGTCAGCCACTGCACTAAAATATACTTGTGATCCTGCCTTACAGAGATTATCTTCAATTATAGAAAACAGCAAGCCTAACAAACATGTACAAAGGGGAAGAAAGGTATAAAACTAAGAAAAAATTACAAGCTTCTATGGGTACAGGCAGAGGCACCCTGATTTAGGTCAGAGGATAAGGCCAGGATAAGGTCAGAAGGAAGGCTACTTAAGCTAAAATCTGACTTCTAAGGAGGACTCAGGTCATTGGGATTGTGTGGGAAGAAGACTTTTGGGCATGGAGACAAAGCTTTTTCTGGGCAGAGAAACAGCATGTGTAGAAAGGCTCAAAGAGAGTGCCAGCATATGTGATGCTAAGAAGGAATTAAAAGAAATTCTGTAGTTGGAGGCTGGATGGTGAAGGGGAGGGTGGCACAATAAGAGAGATACAGGTCAGGAGACTCTCACAAGCGAGGAAAGCGATTTGTACTTTATCCAAGTGGAAAGGGAAAACAACTGTGTGGATTTCAAGATTGTAAACAGCCTGGGTTTTTATGGCTGTTACACTTGAATATGGTTTTGTTAAGACCTGGTACACACATTCTTGTGTGCTGTAGCACATTCTAAGCACAGAACATGGGGTGTGAAAATGGCAGATGAGTATCTGGACTTGACCTTTCTCAAGGAAATCCGGGTAGTGCTGTTTGAAGCAGCAAAGTGTCATGAAGGGAGAAGGTACACCATGAATCAATTACTGGGTAATAATATGACAAAAAAGGTGCCCAGGATGGTGAGGGTGATGTGTCAGAGAGCAACAGAGACCAACAAAGGGATCCCATGAGATAGATCACCATACTTTCGTATGAGAATTGCCCTAGACTTCATCTCTAGAGCTCTTCTCTCAGAACCCTACTGAAGACTGTCATTTATCCTCGGGTCGACATGGGGTCAGGCTGGCAGATGGCAACGATTCTGGCTACAGAGTCAAAGGGGTGGAACGTGATGTTTTCCCCGCTTACTACTTGCATCACAGGGCTAGACACACAATCTTCCTGGGTCTCAGCCTTCCCAACTTTCCAAATGTGGTGACAATTATTACCTCAGAGGGCGTTTTTGAGCAGTAAGAAAGAGCATGTATGAAGGGTACCTAGAATATCCCTTGGCATCACAGCAGGCATTCAGTAAGAAGTGGTTCTTGCTGGGATGCTATTGGCTCCATTACCTCCCAGCATCAGGCCAAGGAAGAAAGAATAGAGGAGAGAATAAGAGGTTTGCTCATTAGGCATTAAGTGCCTTGGGAACTACTTTGTTGAATCTGAATTCCTTGCGTGGCAGAAAGTCAATAAACGTTCTTAGCTTGAGGACATGTGTTTGGTTCTTATTTCACAGTTGACATTCACATGGATACCAGGAATATGACTGCTAATTAAGTATTCATTGAGTAGCCTTTTTTCCTCATCACAAACATGTAATTAAGATGTCAGGGTATGCACGCACGCCCACTCATGTGGGTGTATGTATGCGTGTGTGCATGGAAAGAGAGAAAGTGAGAATTTCTCTATAATAGAGTCATAAAATTAGGGAGCTGGAGGTCCCTCTGTTACATATCACTCGTTTATCAGGATAACTCCAAGGCCAGATAACAGTAAACTTATTCTCCATTCAATATCGCTCACCTAACTCTATTCAGGTACATGATTTGCTCCCTGAATATTGCTTTATACATCTGCATGAAAGCAAATGAGGATAGGGTGCTTGAGGGTGCCAGATGGCTCTCTCCTTTACCTCTTTCCAATCTCATCTCAGATGACATTTCTGCTCCCTGTGGAAGCATGAGATTCCTAATGCCTAAAACAGGTAACTGTCCTCTAAGTTGCTGCTGTAAGAGAAGCTTAAGCCAAATGAGCCAGTGAACCAAACCAGCCAAATCTGTAACTGTGTGTGATTCAGAAGGGGCTTTAAATTCTATGAAGACGGGGACAGCACCAAGAACATATTTGCTCAATAATTTCACTGAGGAAATTAATGTCATACCTCTATCTGAGTTTGTTACTTCCCACGGATGTGCCAGGCTTGATCAATACCCAATCCTTCCAACAGCCTCTGGAAATTCCCAGAGAGCTATTGAAAGGTGTGTCAGTAAGTCCTCTCAATTTATAAAAGATGCAGATTATCACTGGCCACAACTACCCAAAAGCAAGAGCCAAAAATCATATGAAACAGGAGGAAAAAATCTGTAATGACCTTAATTCCTCCTAAGAAAAAAAGCTGTGTTCGTTTAGGAAAAATCCCCGAAGACAGAAGGTGCAACCCCAGCCCTAGGTTGCCTTAATGTGGGTAAAACTATTCCATGTTAAACAAGAGATGACAGTATGCCCAGAAGGGGAGACGAGAGAAGGGAGATAATGGGTACCTGCATACTCCACAAAGTGATTCTCTCTTGAAACCCTCCCAAATCTTTGATAAAGTTGTTACAGCTCACTGAAGCCTTAAATAAACATATATTTTACGGAACTCAATAAAGGACTTTGTACCATGTTTTGCATGGGGTGAAACCAAAGCAATTAGCCTGAGAACAGGGGGCTGGAGAGGGGTTGTAGAGAAAGAAGCACGGCGGGCTGGATGGGTTGGGGAGGGTGGCGCACATGCTTATTCCAGAGCACTGGAGTTGGATTTGGGTCCAGTTTTACCAAGTCAAAACAGCTGCCTAGGGGCATATGGGTAACAAATTTCTTATTAATGCCCAATGAATGTAAGTTGATCCACTAAAATCCACAAACTATATACAGCACCTCTATTACAGTTATGAAGTTACATGCTCTAAAGCTCTGTTACTTGAGTGATGGGGATCCGCAAGCCATTTTAGAAGAATGGCGTCATACAGAAAGGATGGCTCTTGCTTAGGGGCAATTCCTAAGTAATTTCCCCTTAACTGCTTAAAGGATATCCATTGCTGAACTTCATTAGACCCCAAAAGAAACTCCAGCTCTCCTGAGATCAGCAATTGGCCACTGGGGGTTAATGGAGAGAATTCCTATATGAAAAGTCTCTACTCATTCAATATTCAACATCGCTGTCTTCAAAAATGTTGCTAGCCAGGAACGCTCAGCAAACCTTCTCATAATAACTTTATTTCCAGCCCTTCCCAACAGAAAACTAGCCTGTGAAGCAGACCACAGAAGTGTACCGCTGATTAAGGACAAATCAGGTAACTTTCTTTTCAAGTGTTGTCTGATCATCGTACTTTAATGCCATCACCAAGCATGCCAGGGAACAAGAGACAACAGTCAGCAACGCAGTGCTGGTACGCGGATTAGCGACTCTAAAACCAACCCACCCAATAAAGGGCAGAGGAAAAAATAGTAAAGGAGGAGAAATGAAAATACATTCTGTGGACTGAATCAGTTTATACCCCTAATAGGTCTTAAAGCCGATTCCCCATTTTACTAGAAATCTTAATAACAAAAAGTTTCCATATAAAGTGCTGTCCATATAAGTCTTGAAATGAGTACAATTTCTCATGGAAGAGTAGTAACATTCATAGATAGATATAAGTTTGGACAGCCCTCTCCAACCAAAGATGAGTCAAGCAGGATGATTTCTGTCTTCCGTAAAATAGAGTGCAATAGCCTTCCTATCTATTGGATCAGAAAAGGTTTCTAGAACTTATTTATCTGCTCTGTTCCAAGTTCCAGAAATAAAAATGAACTTTCCCATAGGAACCACCTGGTCCTCAGTGATGTTTAAGCCACCCTTGTCAAAGCAGCTGAAAGGAGAGGAATATTGTAGACTCACCATTTGGTGGCTGTACCAGTAGAGCGACGTTCCCTTCAGCACCACCCAGAACTTTTTCCATTTGTTGCTTAGGAAAGTTCCTTTTTCTTTTTTCTTATACAGCCACCCTTGGCAGTCAGCATGTCCCAGGTCTTTACATGATATCCTCCTCCGACTCATCGTGAAAAAACCTGCAGCAATTATATGAGAAGGTAAATAACACAGTACCCTGATTTACATGACCAAGTGAAAGGTAACTGTTGTTTACCTCTTGAGAGCTGAATTTTTTTTTTTACTAAAATTTATGCAAAGTAAATGCAAAAAAAGAAAAGAATTAATATCTATTTTATTTTTAAGCATTCATTTGGTGCTTAGAAGGTACAAGATATGACCAAAGAAAGAGGGAGGCTAATATGCAAGTGTTAGTCTAAGAATATTATTCAACAAGAATAAATTGAAAAAATTCAAATCATGAGCCTGGCAGGCATATCGTTGTACTAACACAGCTCCTTTCAAAATAATAGCAGTCATTATGCAATATAGAGAAGGGTTAATGCCCACCTAAACACAGCTACTTCCCGACTCGGGTGCCAGCTTTTCTAAGCTTTATTGACATACCACGAGGGATTAATCCAAATGAACAGCATGCCGTCATTTCTTAAAATCGAGCCAAAAATAACCAAAAATTTAATCTGCCATCCACCTTCTGATATGAGCATAAGACAGACAAAAAAATAAATAAATCTGATCCCAAAGAAGGCATCCGAGAGAAAACCCACACTCACGCACACGAAAAGGGGATAAAGAAACAAAAGAGATCTAATTACCTTGAGTTTTCTTTCTCTGCTTCTGACGCAAGGGAACCTGCTGATAATGCAGGAAGGAAAGAAAAGAGGAAATTTCTGATTGTGTTGTAACATTTGTAAAGAGAGAAGGAGGGAGGGGGTGGCAGTGTTTATGAGCAGGATGGAAGCTAAAAAAAACTCTCCAAGCAGAGCTAAAGGGGAGCTACTCGCTGAGGCACAAAATGTGCTAATTAGAATGGTATACGTTGAGCTGAACCTGAAGAAAGATACGAAGATGCGTAACTCGGCGTTTATCACTAATGTTTCCTGTTTCCACCACAGACAGTTTTAATGCTACCACTTCTGTTAGGGCAGGACAGTGTGCACTGAAGTTCTTAAAAATAATGAAATATTTCCCCTTTGACTTTTTTGTGGGTGTCAGAATCAAAAAACAGATCCTGCTTCTTCCCTGGCAATTTTTTAAATAACACCAATTAATTAAATAAACCGGGAAGCCAATTGCAATCTCACAATACTACGGGTTCGTATCAGATTGTTAAATCCATGGCCCTGCCCCCATCTAGGGTTACACCTACACCACATGAATTCAATATCCCAGAAAAAGAAGTCCCACAACCTCTTTTGGTGACATCTAAGTATCTATCCTCCTTATCAGGAAATTCTTATCTACAGCCAGATTCAAATTACTCATTCTGTCTTTAAGCATCCCTGAATGTTTCTCACATGTTTCACAGAAGATAAGTTAATTTCAACTTCTATTTTATACTAGCTCTTCAGATATTCAAATCAGACATAAGATAATATATCTGAAATACACATCTTTCACAATACATTTTAAACAATATGTGTAAGATCAAACTATCAGCAAACATAGATAATAAAAAAGAAAAAAGCTTTCAAATGGCCGTGTGTGTGTGTGTGTGTGTGTGTGTGTGTGTGTGTGGAGAGACGTTTTAGATTAAAGAAGTTGCACATTATCTAAGCTGAATTTACTCATCTATAAAAGATTTAATCTTTTATGTTAACAAGTAGAGAATTTAAAAATATTGTACATAATCGCAAAGCAGCTCTAATGGTTGCCATACAATCTTACCACAACATTTTATAATATAGATGTTCCTGGCTAGTATTCTGCATACCTAACTATTGACCTAATAGCTATTGTGTATGGTACTACTATATGTTTCAAGAGGGAATATGATACAGGGGAAAGAGGGTAGGATTTAAAAATCCAGGGGCCTGAAATCAGCTCCTGCCTGGGTAGCTGTGTTACCAGGAAAAAGTCAATTGACCACTCAGAACCCGTTTCCTTGTTTGTAAAGTCAAGATATATCTATAATCCCAATATAAAGGTCTTACAGATTTTTTAACAAGGTTGTATGTGAAAATTATCTGAAAAGCAAAAAACATTATATGACTATATATAATATATTACACTATTACCGATATAAGCAAATACTTTATACTAATAAAAATTGCATCATTTTTAGGATAAGTGGGACTTGTATTTCCTTCAGCAGCGATGATGAAGTCAATGTGCTTAAATTATTTTTCCTGGGAAATCTCATACTGACTTTGTATTTTACAAATGTTAGAATACAATTTTAGTCCTGCAGGAATCAATCATCCTTGTGAGAAAAGGGCATAACAAAAGCAGTGACTGCCCTAAGTTTTAGGCAAGAATAGATTTATTACAGTCCTGACACGTGACAAAAATCTAGGCATATTGTGATGACAAGGTCGTCTCAGCGCCTCTTCAACAGATATCTCCCACCCTGACCTGCATCTTGGTCTGAAATTCCCACCATTCCCTCCAATGGTCTCCTGGGGTCTTTTTACTAAGCAATTATCTGAGATCAGGGAAACCA